TCATTGTCCGTCTCTAGCCTTTGAACCTTTGGTTTTCTTACATCGATACGTATTCGACCTTGGGTTCTCATCATTTCTCTAAATGGTGACTTTGTCAATACTTTCAAATTAGAATGATATTTACATATATCAATGGATTCATAATCCAATGATATTGAAAGTCCATCCCTTTGGATCTTTCGCATGCAATTTTCATTTTTCATTCGAATTAATTGACATTTTAGAGACAATTTATATATATATAGAAATGGTTTAATAATTTCTATTATATAGAACTTTGAACCTATTTAGCAATCTCAAAACACATTAGGACTCAATGAAGCATAGAATAACATTTATTCCACGTTTTTTGAATCTTCGATGCTTAATCATTACTAACATTGAATGGTGTTTTGATAATGGCAAAATTGAATAACATTTATTTAATTCTAGCCAATTACAAGGTAAGGTGAAATATAGCTTTTACTTGTAAAGTTGCAACTTTTGCTTCTAAACTCGTAGATTCTACTTGTGAAGTAGTAACATTTGCTTCTAAACTTGTAGATTTATTTCTCCTTTAGTCATACTTCTTCATTTAGTTCAACCTCATTCTCAATAAGAGAGAACTAAACAAGACATCATATGTCCAAGAAGTAGTAATGTGCTAAATCAATTTCTATAATATACTTCTTAAATTGGAACATTTTCCATTCTTTTACCTTCCAACAATATGAGGTAGTTTCTAATCAATTGGAATCGGTCCATTTAATTTGAAACATTTGTTATTCATAACAACTTTTAGCATGTAAGTAGTTCTAGGTTTGAGAAGTAGCAACTTGTTTGCATTTCTTGGCCTATAACTTCTTAATGCAATCCTCATATATTCCTAAACCATTCCCATTTGAGCCACTTAGAACACTTCTCTTAGGTTCAAAATGATGCTTTGCTTAACTACTTTAAGCACTTTTCATGATTTTGCTAAGTCTATTCAATCATTATTCATAATAGAGTTTAATCAACTATTTAACTCTTATATAAAATGGATGAAGAATAGTGTCATTTGATCAACTTTTGATCATAGAAATTTCCAATCACTTTCTTATATCCAATCATATTGAAAATAAGAGATTTTATTAGACTTCTATGCTTGTCTTTTAGAGGGTTTGTACCTCCCATCTCATTATATCCCTTGAAACACTTTTCAAAATGAAGATGTGTTGTCATTTTACTCAAACATTTTGAATAAAACCAACCTTAGACATGTGACATGGATTTCTAAAACTTGCCTTTTAGAACCATCTTAGCAAAGTTGGAATATAGGTTTATGGATTATCTTTTAACCTTTTGAGAACGTTTCTCAACTTTATTTTCAATCGTGGAGATTATATTTAATAATAAAATTAGAACGACATGTTACTTGTAAGTAAACGCAAAATTTAATTATGTTTAATAAAAATTTAAAGTGCCATAAGCGAATTAAATTGGCAACTTTAAAGCATTTATTCAATTTTAATTGATCCCTATTGAATAAAATGATTCCAAGATCCTTTATTTGTGCAATGATTGACCGGACTTTGTCCCTACCATCAACCATTACATTTTCAAGGTGAGTAAACTCTTTACTGATTACAACTCTTTGTAATTCTTGGTTGAATAATTAACCATCACATGTTTAATTATTACCCTTAGCTTCAAGGTTCTAAACTCTTTAGGTAACCTTGTTGAGTATAACCAATCAAAAGTGTAAATTTTTTTTTACCCCCACTCCCCTAAGATATAATATGACACCCTGCTTTGGCATGACCCATCATAAATATCGAAGGTTTCATCGGGTTTTTGATTGAAAAAGCAACCTCAATATTACCGGGACCTAGATTTATTATGTTGTGATTAAATGGTGAACTCTAGCGCATCATCACAAAACATCAATAAAATCTAACATGCATAATAAACTGAATGCATAAACAAGACATAGCATGGCTCCTAATCCTAAGAAATTAATAAAGCAAAAAGCTCCCACTTGAACCTTCATGGATCTCATCCACCTTGCTCCCTTGGGCCTTCACTTCATGGGCTTCTTGGATTAACTGCAACCTGTAATTTTACTCTATTCTATCTACAACTTAAATAAAATGAAATAAAATTACAAAAATACTTTATCGGTATGTAGACCGTACTAAGATTATAAAAATACATCACGATGCGCAGGTCGTATTTAGCAATCTACTGGGCCATACTAGTCATTATATAGCAATAAATAATATCATATATTATAAAATTGCCACATAATAAATCACTCATCATGCTTTCCTAAACTACAACATCGAATGTTCACAATTAAGGAAACATGGCACCAAAATATTTCATATTTTAATTAATGCAATTAGATAATATCATATATTATTCATGACCATAAATAAATTATCATATATTCTAAATTAGTCATGAGATAGAATCAAATCTTATTTTAATCTTAAAAGATAAATCATATTTATCCTCAAAGATTATCCTAACAAAGTTAGAAATTCTATCCTAATTACTAGCCAATCACAAAATTTTAAATCAATTATATCCAAAATTAATCATGGGATAATCACATTATTTAAATCAATTATTATCCTTTTGGAATATGTTCAGAATATCCTAACAAATCTTATCCAAAATTAACCACTTTAATTATGGATAATTATCAATTTAACAACTTTAAATATGGATAATATCAAATATAACAACTTTTGAAATTTGAATTTATCCCAAAATAAAATCAGATTTTATTTTGAAATATCTTTAAAATAAAATAATTTTAATAAAAACCTTTTTTTTTTGAAATATTACCAACTGCCACGTCAGCAAGGGGAAACCCAGCCAACGCAGCAGTCAGTAGTTTCGCAGGCAGCATTTCAGCCCACCCGCAGTGATCGGCAGCCCAAGGAACCACCAAACCATACGCCTGAACACAGTCAGACCAGTGACGGTTCCCTGCTCCGCCGATCTTCCAAAATAGCTCCAGCCTGGAAGGTTGCCGCGCCACCGTGGCCAAGTGAAGCCCAGCCACACGCGTTACCCTTCCCTCTGGTGGCAAAACGCCGGGCTGCTGTGACAGTGGTGCAACAATTGCGCCCCTATCTCGTCGCCCTTGCGCCACCCTCCTTGCCGCACCCTTTTCGACCACCTGGGCAGCCGCCGTGGCCACCTGATGGTGGTTCATCCACCCAGCCACGGCTGCCCCTCCCAAATTCAACCTTTTTTTTTTATTTGAGATTAAATTTAATTAAACAACATTTGTGAAATTAAATTAGATTGTTCTTTTGAATTGAAACATAACATTTATGCCTAATTCAATCTTGAAATCAAATTCACAATTCAATTTCAAATTTTAGGGCTCTTCATAAAATTAATTCCAATTTAATTTAACTTTTAAATCAAATTATTGATTATACAAAAAATCATATTTTATGTATCAAAACAATCCAATTCAAATTATGAAGCATAAATATTCGAAAATCATCAAAATTAAGCACACAAAATCAAAATATTAGGGCTATATTTCAATCACAATTTTTGAAATTCTAGGGCTTAAAACGGATTTTGCTAGAATAATTGAGCAATTTAAATCATATTTAAACAATTCCAAAAATTAAATCTCATTTAATATAAAGATTGAACCATAATTAAATTATTCTCCCTCCTAATTGAATTAAAATTGTGGACTATCAAAGAATTAAAATTCAATATGCGTAAATGCATAGGCTAACTGATACCACTGTAGGGAATTATAGGCACTACGCAGCGGAAAAACATGAATCATATTCATATAGCACCTAATCCTAAGATCATGCATAACACGTAAAGAATTAGAATTAATACCTTTGAAGTGTGATTCCACGTGCGATCGAACAAGAACAAGGGAGACAAAGAACCTCAAGCGTGATTCCTCTACTTGGTCCACAGCACAGATTAAGACCTCCACTAATGCTAGTTAGTTGCAATTGAACCCTTCAATTGACCTTCTATGGAGAAGTGCAGGCAATGAACCACCACGAACCACCACACGCGCCACCAAGGTGGCCGGCCGTATGGACGAGGGGAGGAGAGAGAAAGTCGTGAGTTAGAGAGAGGAATTAGGGTCTTTGGGATTGGTTGCCTTGATGTCAAAAGACACTGTGTGTGAATTATGACTTCTTACATGCAACCCTAGGCATGGATCTTATTTATAGATCTCATCTCTAAATAAGAGCCCATGTCAAAAGCCCAAAACCTAATTCTCATCTAACTATGCTAGCCCAATCCATTTCATGATTAGTTAGTTGCTCATGAGGCCCATTAATGGGCCTCTTACTTACTTAACCCAATACCCTTGTTGTGTGACCTCATAGGATCTATTCTAGTAGGCTTTGGACTATTTGACTAGCCTAAAGATCATTGATCATAGTCTAGCAACAGATAATGACGACCCAAAAGAACGAACTTATTATCTCCATAATAGTGATCCTTGATATATCTAGTAATTGCACTTATCGAAGACACAATTCCTTCACAAAGACCATCAAATTTTCGAATTCTCTTTTTCTTAGGGTTTCGTTTAAACTGATGTTATAAAGACCGTTAGTCAAACAAAAACATCCATTTACCATGTTGCAACTATTGATACATTCCCAATATACCCATACGACCATACACAAGATTGTGAATTGACCATTAAACCCCCGAGATAAACGACAATGGTTTCTCCTAAAGATCAACTTGTATTTACCTAAAAAAAATATGGAAATTTTGTAAAATAACACTACAAAAAAACTGAAAAATTGATTATAACACCATTTAAAAAAAAAAAAAAAAAAAAAAAAAAACTTTAATTATTACACCACAAAAAAAAAAAAAAAAACATCGAAATTTGCTTTAATCACCATTTAACGGATTATTGGATGAAATTTGTTAATGGGACCCCTAACAGACACGGGTCACATCTTGGTTTTAAAAAAATAAATAAATAAAAGAAAAAGGAAAAAAACCTAAACCCCAACCCAACCACCATTCCCACCACCAGGCTTCCTACGTGCCACCGCCGACCAGCCTCACTGTCGTAAGCCTAACCACATAAACATCACCACCGTCGCTGCCCTCCTTTTCCCTACCCAGAACCGTTGTTGAACTCCTCTCCCCCTGCCAAAACCGTCGCTAAAACCCCATTCCCTCTCCCTGGAAACCACCCAACGTACAAACCATCACGAATTCTACCACTTTGGGGTTCGAAGGTCGATTTCAGCCTTACCCTCCGCCCTCAAAACAGCCAAAACCTTTGAAGTCCTAGAAACTTCGATCTCTCGGTGAAGGGCAAGGGTTGTTTTCGGGGAGGGGAGAATGGGTTGGGATGGTTATCGGTGAGGAGGGGGAAGGCCAGGGGAGTCGCTGGTTTAAGAGGTGGTGGTTTGGCTGATCTCGGCGGTCAAGGTGGAGGCAGGGCATGCTGGCGGCGGGGTTATGGTGTCGGTGGTGGGGCTAGGCTGGGTTAGCCGGTTAAAGTTTTTTTTTATGTTTTTTTTAAATTAATTAATTTTTTTAACCAATAGCCTATTAACACGTGTCTGTTCATGGAATTCGTTAATTGGTGGCCGGTGAAATCAAATTTTAGTGATATTTTGTGGTGTTATAATTAAAGGGTTTTTTTTTTTTTTTTTTTTTTTTTTTTGGTTGTTGTTGTTGTAATCAATTTCTTAGTTTTTCTGTGGTGTTATTTTGCAAATTTCCAAAAAATATACTCGTATGTATAAATGAACCAAATTCCCTAATTCCAAATTCCGTTATTCGAAACCAAACAGAGTTCACATCGAAAAAACAATAAACCCAAATTCCCTAATTCCTCATTTTCACAAAATCAAACTTGTCAAGATTCAAAGATCGATCAACAATGGAGTGTGTTTTCGGATTAGTAGGCAATGGATTCGCAATAATTGCAGCAGATACATCAGCAGTGAACAGCATTTTGGTGCACAAAACCAACGAAGACAAGATCATGAAGCTCGATTCTCACAAACTCTTGGGCGCCAGTGGCGAAGCCGGCGATAGGTCCAATCTCTTCCATTTTGCAAAATCAATTTGTTCATTTGTGACGTTTGATTTGAATTTGAATTTAATATTTTTTTGTTTGATTGATTGATTTTCAGAGTTCAATTTACGGAGTTTGTCCAGAAGAATGTTTCTTTGTATCAGTTCAGGAATGGTATCCCTTTGACTACTGCTGCCGCTGCTAATTTCACTCGAGGTGAACTTGCTACTGCCTTAAGAAAGGTACATTTTCTGGGTTTTCGTTTCGAGGTTTTTTTTTTTATTATTTGATTTGAATGTTTGTTTGATGATTGTGTGTGTTTTAGATTTTGAAGAGATGCTATTTAGGGTTCACAAATTCTTTTGTGTCACCAGCTATTGTAGGGGTTACTTCGTTAGTGTTATACGGGTTACTTGGTCAGTTCTAGAAGGGTTACTTCATGAGTTCATGAGTGCTATAGAGGTTACTCCATCAGTATTATAAGGATTACTTGTATAGGGTTAGTGTTTTTTAGTGAACCTGAATTTGTTACAAGTGTTGCTGACTTAATTAATGAATGTGGGTATTTGTTCAAGAAGGCGGTTCGTATGCTGTGGATTACATTAGATTGCTGTCCTTTAGGTTTACTCGAAAAATACAGTGCTGCATAAGGGTGATTATGAACATATCTTGGTTCATCAAGTGAGGATTGGCTGGTTTAGTTGTATGCAGTGAGTTGATGTAGATTATTAGGCAAACAAAGAATGACGTATTTCCACATTAAGGGTCATAACCTTGAGCAAATTAAGTTGAAACTGTGAGTTGATGTAGACTATTAGGCAAAGGAAGATTGATGTATTTTCACAATTAAGGGTCATGAGTAAAAGCAAATTAAGTCGAAATTGTGAGTTGAAGACTATTAGGGAAAGGAAGTTTGATGTATTTCCACAATTAAGGGTAATAACCTTAACCAAATTAAGTCGAAACTGTGAGTTGGTGTAGAGTATTAGGCAAAGGAAGATTGACGTATTTCCACAATTAAGGTCATAACATTAAGCAACCTAAGTTAAAACTAAGATTTTGCTAGTTAGTGAAGTACACTGTTAGTTTCCCCTCATTTCTTTCACCAAACGCCAAACACTTGAAAATTGTACTCCGTATAGTTTTTATGCTTGGTTGAACTTGTTTTATTTCCTGCAGCTATAAATCACAATGTTGATCAATATTTTGTTAGAAGATTCAGTTATTCATGATTTTCAACTTTCACTGTCCACCAGGTTTGCTTAGTTCTATGCAATTCTATATTATGCTTTTATTTTGTTTGAGTGCTCCAATATTTAGTTTTAAGTTTATGCTAATGTACCATAGGCTCTCCGAGCATCTACGGTGTATTATATGTGCTACGCATTTACTTGAAAAGGTTTCTGCTACTGAAATTTGGATTTTGTGTGTAATTTTGATATGAACCATAAAAACATTAAGAAGAATCTGAATCGAAGAGATTTGAACTTAATTTAATGATAAATAAGTTAGCTTTTTTTTTTGGTTGGTTGGTTGTAGTAGTAGTAAACTAGTAATAGTAGTAGTAGTAATTAGGGATGCCCTTGAAAGCTTAAAATAGGATTTCAGCTCTAGTATTGGAGATTTATTCTGGATTTTTTCCTTCTCTTTAAATTAGGCTGTAATTAGAACTTTTTTTTATAAAGTTCTCATTACTTAAAGGTGTAATTAAAAGAAAATTTTCTAATATATTTCCCTGAAATTGTTATGCCTTTTCAATACAGCACTGTCTCGAGTTTGTTATTTCCCTGATAAGACTTCCTCTATTCCCAACTCCATCCTCCATAATGCTTTCTTTCCTTTATTTGGCTTATTGGAACTTATGAATTCCTCTTTGATTGCTTGTAGGCTCTCTTGACATTAATCGTTGTTTATTTGCAGAATCCATACTCAGTAAACATAATTCTAGCTGGTTTTGACCAAGACACTGGACCTTCATTATACTTTATTGACTACATAGCGACTCTTCACAAGGTAGATAAGGCAGCATTCGGCTATGGTTCCTACTTTGCTCTCTCTATGATGGACAGGCATTACCGTAGTGATATGTCAGTTGATGAGGCCATCAAGCTGGTTGATGATTGCATTGTAGAGATCAGGACTAGGCTGGTTGTAGCTCCACCTAATTTCGTGATCAAAATTGTTGATAAGGATGGAGCTCGGGAATTTGCCTGGTGTGAATCCATTAAAGATCAGGCCGTTGCAGATGCAAATGCTGCTGCCGTATCTGCTTCTGTCTGAGACTCTGAGGGTATCTGGTTTTTTAGTAGTGAAAAATAGGTCATTTTTTATATTTTCTGAAGGTGGTAGCGTTTATATAACAGGATGATTTACTATGTTTGAAACTGTATACCCTTACTTTGGAGTTGTCACCTTGAGATTTTACCCCACTGTTATCTGCTGAAACAATCATCAAATTGATTGATCTAGTTCATTTATCACCATGCTAATCTTAACTTGTCTGAGTATCGTGGATCCGTGGAAGGTGGAGCGAACACCTTGCCATTTCCATTCTACATCGTATTGTGAAGACCTCACCATCTCTATTCTACATATCCCTATTGTTTGGCCTTCCCACTCTCCTTGGTTGGAATTCTGAAAATCTTTGGAGTACCCCTTTTTGTGTCCTCCAGTTGCATAGCGAGACTCAAAGCTCTTAGGAGAGTCAAAGTAGCAAAGGTTATCACTCTTTTTGGCTTCCTTGTTGTTGTTGAGGCTATTTAATCCTTTTCGATGGCCTCGTTCACCTTCTTGACGTTTGTGCCCTCCCCTATGTTGATCGAATTCTTTTTCACAATGCAGTTTGCATTGCCTTTGTCGTGGAAGTCCTTCCTCACACTTTATCAGACAATGTGTGTAATCATGTTCTCTTGGGTGCCTATCCATCCATAAGTTCAAGCTAATTTATCATACTACCTATGTTAAATTTTATTTGTAACTTTTACTATATTTGGATGCTTAGTATTATTTGCAACTTTCCCAAATCTTTCCCTTTTCAGTAAGTCTTTTCGCTGGAAATGTCAATATTACCCTTATTTTAAAAATTAAACATTCACTTAGATGATTAATTACATTACACTAACAAATTAATTTGGATCTAACAACTCCCAACTTGGCTACCTACAAGGTTGGTTTGCCACCTATACTGATAGGTGGCACCAGCTTGGTTGTCTTCCTATAAATACCCAAGCATATTTTCATAATAAGGTACAATCTTTTCTCTCTTTCTCTCTCTCTCTCTTTTCTCATCAGATTACTAACTTTAGCATCGGAGCGGTTATCCCCGGATAATCCCCCGGGTTAGCTAATATGTGTTAACTGTGTAGGTGTGAAATTGAACGGTAGAAGTTGTTACTTCTCCTCCTAGTGCCAATTGTTTCGGGTGAGCTCCGGTTCCGTGAGTTCTTGAGGGTATTAATAAAATATTTTTTTGTATGTTAGCATTACTACTATAAATTTTTGTATGTTAGTATTTATATTAGTTATTGATTATATTAAAGCACGAATACTATTAATCTTGTAATATACTCCTCACGTTTCAAAATAATCTTCCCACTTTCTATTTTAAATCCTCATTAATTAGTTTCTTATAGTTTTCTCATTTTAATGGTCTCAATCCAAAAATAAAAAAAGTCTCAATGTACTTAATTTTTTTTTAGCTTTATTTACAAAAAAAAAAAAAAAAAAAAAAAAAGAAAAAAAATATTCCAAATGAGAAGATCGTTTCCGAAATAATGCTCCATCACTTGTTACTTTTAAAAATGAAATAATGCTCCATTTATAATAATACAACTACAATATCTCGATCAATTGCTTTACAAAAAATGAAATTACAATGTTTCATATAAATATTAGATAATAATTGATTAATAATATGAATAACAATTAATAATATTGTAATATACAAATTCTAGCGCTTGATAAATTGTTTTAGCAAAAAGTGAGATTATAATCATTTACAAAATATAACAGTGAAGAGTTAAAATTACTTAAATTTGGATTAAAAACAATAGTTATCAGTTACTAATAAATGTTTCATTAACCTCAAAAAAAAAATGTTTCATTTTTTTTCAAAAGGATTGAAAATACAAAATAAGTAAAACTCTAAAACATATTAATAATATTACTTTAAGTTTTGGAAACTTTGTTTACATCTTGTAAGGACATTTTTAACTAGCACCACTAGTTATGTTTTCGTTGCTTAATATTAATATTAAATAAATTATTATAAGCCACATCATTTATTAATCTTGTAATATAAACTAAAATAGAAACTCTTGATAAATCTCGATCAATTGCTGTTTTTTAAAAGTGAAATTATGATTCTTAATATTAAGATACTTCATTTAATAATTAAATCTCGATAACGTGATAAAAGCGAAATTATGCTCCTTATATCAAAAAGTGTCATTATTCACTATGTTAATATCTTCAAACTTTATATTGTTATAGTATACACCGCCATTATTTTATAACTATACTATAGGTTTTGAATACTATTTAAATAATTATTGTTACTGTAATCTAGTAAATGAATAACTAATATTAAAACAAATAATGTTACTAAATAAATTAGAAAATTACAATCGTTACCACCCATTTTATTTTCAAGATACCTCATTTTTTCCCCTTTGTTTTACTTTCAATTTTTTTCCCTTTATTTTACTTTAATTTTTTTTTCAAGAGTTTGGTCGTAAAACTAGATAATAATTTCTTTTAAATATGGCATCGTGAATTCGTGATAATTCAAGATTTTAATGTGTTGTCCTTGTGATAATCTAATGTCCAGCATCTGTTGCTGGTCAATTATCTAACTTGCAAAAAAAATTATAGTTTGATGTTTAAATCCGACAAATTGTTCTTTAGAAAAAGATCTGGGTAAATTGGAGAACATTGGAAATAACGATGATATAGCACAATATTTCAATCTGGGTTTAACTTTAAACTTATAACATGCATAATTTGTCTTAAGATTTGTTTAATACTTTGAAAAATCGAAATAATGAAATAAATCTAAAAATAAAAAACCCTTTTTTTCCGGATCTGTAACAACATGACATACATACAAATCAAAATAACAAATTATTAATAATTAATTGTATAACATAACATTGTATATTCATATGAATTTATAAAAAAAAAACAAATAAATCGTCAAGCAAAAGATGATTTTTTTCCATAAAATCATCAAGAACATGAAGAACATAACAAATTAACAATAGAGAGAAGAGAGACAAAATCAAAATCCGAAACTCAACAATTTTTAGCCAAAGATAAAAGGCAATGAATTAGTCATGAAATATAATAAACATTATACAAAAAATAAAAATAATAGAAAAATTATGGAACAAAAAAAAAATTGAATTTGAAGTTATAAACATGAAGAACAACAAGAACAAGAAGAGAGAAAAACTAGACCCACAAGTAATCAGCCAAAAAAATGAGAGGAGAGAGAATGAGGTGGTTGGGAATGTAGGGGGGCATTGTGCATTGAAAATATAAAGCTGATTTGAAATATTTTGAAATTTTGGTTTAAAATTTGAATGAAATAATAAAATATATTATTGTTGGAGCCCAAATCTAATACCAATCACAGATTGCCACGTGGCCCACGTCAATAGTTTATACATGGCTCACATAAACCTAGTTTATGTGTAGCAATTGCCATCCCTTAGGGAATTAGTAGTGAGGTGGAATTCCACATCCCAACCTCATTGTTTGCATTGTTTGTTTGTTTGTTTGTTTTTTTTTTTTAAATACATTTAATTAAATTTAATTTAATAAGTTATATATATCAATGCAGAATTATAATCAATGATAAATTTAAGTATAAATAAGGTTAAAACGAATTGAGTAATAGGTAAAGAAGATGGTCTTCTTTCAAAAAAGAAAAGAAAAAAACCGAAAAGGGTTTATTGAGCCGTAATTTCTCATTCGTCAATCTAAATCGGTTTATGAAGCATGCACTTTGAGAGGAGGGTTGATCACTTGATCCTACTAATGCAAATATTTTTATTAGGTCAAGGCTCTTCAAACTTAGTTGGCTTTTATATAATTACCTCTTCACTAAATTTGCCCCTAATGCTAAATTGGGTCAGAAAGCAATTAGTCCCTTTTGTTCAAAACTGTTTATCTAATTAATTAATATTTTGGCACCAAAATTATATTAGCTGTTGCTGCCAACTCAACCACTAAGCCGAAAATTGTCAATAATAATCTCTCTTTGTTAATTTAAGACACGTAATAATGCACTTCATTTAGAAACCATGCAAAAATTAAAGCAACTTCTAAATTATTATAATTATAGTAATAATGTCAACTAGGGTGAACATACTACCAAAAAGGTACTCGTATTGCTTTTAATCTGTAATCCAATTTTGGTAGTTTTATACTTCTTAGTTTGTGTGGTCAAATAACAGCTATAGACCTATAGTCAACTTAAATTGCCCCTTCTATAGTTCTATACTTCTATTGCATTGAGTTAATTAAAAAAGGTGTAATGCAATCATTAAATACATTTTTTTTTTAATATACTATCTCCATTTCATATTATTTGCAACAAAGAATTATTTTATGTTTCATAAATAATATCCCTTTGTTGCACATAATACGAAACGGAGGTAATACTTATAAATTTGGGTATTTACATATCAATATAATCAGTGTTCTTAACACTCATTCCTTCCCCGTGTTTTTTTTTTATTTTTTTATAATTTGTAATTGAAATCTTTTAATACTTTTGTTTTCTTTTGTCTTACTCACTTTTCGTTTTAATTCGTTTTTCTAAGTTCTACTCCTTTTATGACAATAACTTTTTATTCTTTTTTATCATCCACAACCCATTTTGTGGGGACTCAATATCATCTTTAATACAAAAGCACCCACATGACCACATGTGTGGTTCCCCTTTTTACTTTTTCTTGGTTTGTGTAGCTAGTAATTCTCAACCAAGGCCTTGTTTGGCAAATGACTGTTGGCGATTGGCGGTTGGCTGTTGGGTGGTTCACTTGGCTTGTTTGACCAGCTGAAATGTTTGGCTGTTTATAATGGCTTTTGAAATTAGCTATTTAAGCTGGCTGTTTATAAAAGTGTTTGGTAAATTAATTGTTGGTTGTTGGCTGTTTATTAGATAATTTGTGGGCCAACAAGCCAAAAGCCAACAAAAAAACTACTCAAAGCAGCTTTTTCGCTGACTAAAAAATCAATTACCAAACATATTTTTTTGGCTGTTTGACCATCTAAAAAAACCAAAAGCCAAAAGCTAACCAAAAAGCCATTAAAAAGCCAATTACCAAACATGGCCAAAATGGAGGAGTTTAAAATGACTATGGGATCACAATATTAATACAGCCTTCATTCATGTTTCATAATGCATATCAGCATATGCCAATATATTTACAAATCATCATATGACATGCATATGAGAGGTTATTATAGAATATACTCGTAT